GGACCCCCCCCCCCCCGCGGTTTGACTTACCCCTCGTGCACCGTGGCTTAGAACGTTACTATATAACCTACTGTCGCACGAGATATTTATTAATAATTAGGAAAATAGAGAGAGAGAGAGAGAGAGAGAGAGAGAGAGAGAGAGAGAGAGGGAGAGTCAGGAATCTCCGAGCTGGCCGACAAAGATAATATACTGGCGACCGTCATACTTCTTCCGCAACGCGAAATCCCCGAGGAAATCTTCCGGGCGCGATGGAAACGATACAAAACTTCTTCAAACGTTCCCCGCGTGTGAACGGACGGTAGCGGATGGCGAGTCGCACTCCAACGCCCGCAAAAGCCCGAGCTATTCGGGCTAATTAACTAATTCCTTTCTCACGCCTACGTCTGAGACATCTCGCAAAAATCAACGAAGGCTTATCAAATGTGATTTGTCCTCTCTCTCCCTGTTCTGCGGACTTGCTCTTTCCCTCGCGGTTTGCGGTTCGTCAGACTGAGCACCCTTGATATCTCTACTAATTACTACTAATTGCTCGTTCACCACGGTAGCTCGCTTGAGTAGGTATAGTAGTAACGTTCTAAGCCACGGTGCTCGAGGGGTAAGTCGAACCGCGGAGCAAGAGGGGGCAATCCAGCCGCGGCGAACGCTGGTGGGTATGGAGGGGGAAGTTTGGCCTACTTTCTTAATAATCGATATAATCTTACAAAAACTATATCGTGTTGGGTCTTATTTTAATCAGAATAAGCTCACGATTTCATTGGAAAAAGTCCCATTAAGAAACAATAAAAAATGAAGAAGTTACACATTGCGTTATTATCTATCCTTCATTTGCTGTTCTTTTCTACGTTCGGTAAAGATAAAGTCGAACTCCGAATCTTGATCTAAGACACTTCAGTCTCGAGGTCATCGGTTCTGCCTGGCATCATGCTCGCACGTCTAATTTGAATAGCTTAGCGCGTAGATGTGTCACGAGCCTAATATTCGTTATACCCCACTTCCATGCGGGAAATGAACTGTCGAGCCCCCTTGGCGCACTGTGTGGGCCTGGATGTCAAAGATGTCAAAGAGACACTAAAAAGTCTGTCAAAAATGACATCGTCCAAATCGACCGCAGCATAAACTCAAATAGTAAGATGAGACACTGTAACAAGATACGCATCGTGACAAGTTTTAAAGAATTAATTATCTCGATCCAAAATATCCATCACTCAGTATAAAAATTAAAACATTTATTATCCGAAAAATGCGATGAAAGAAAGGGAAACTTGAGAAAGGAGAATTACAATGCATCGACTACATCTGCCTTACAACATATACAAAATAATAATAATAAACACGGACAGTTTCTTATCAATTACAATTAACTTTATAAATAAAAATTTTGAATTGAAGTTGTACGCAATAGAAGCTTATAAACGTCTAGGGCAACTGTATCAAACGCACGTCCTGGCGTGTCGGTTGGAGTCATAGGCAATCTTGTCTTCACTCGTATTAGTTTGTTTCTTTGACAATCCAGGCAACTGTTCACGAACTTCGTAACATTTACCTTTAGCGTAGGCCAGTAATACTTTTCCCGAATATTTTTGTATGTTTTAGAGGTACCTTTGTGTCCTGCGTACACAGACACCGTTTCTAAATGGAAAATACAAGATCAGTTATTGCAGTTCAATCATTACCCGCTCATATATCGCGTATGGTACGTACGTTGAATTTCATTGTTAAAAAGGTTTTAAATCGATAAATGTTACGATGTTAACATTTTGTATAATTTGTAACACCGGGGTTCGGATCGGTGGGGAGATTACATAAATTCCGTGGCGCTTATCTCAAAATAACAAAAATCAATATACATATTTATTTTTCTGGATAATCCATGCAAACTAGCAAACTAACCTATAATTACAAGGTGTCCCAAAAATGTCTCGTAATATGGAAATAGGGGATAACTGAGGTCATTTGAAGTAACTTTTTTCTTAGCGAAAATTCAATCTGCGGCTTTGTTTACGAGTTATTAACGAAAAACACTGACCAATGAGAGACGAGAGCGTGAATTACAACATGGTCGATCGATCGAGTACAACGTGCTTCAATCGTGGAGCGTGACAGAAGAAGGGAGGCTCCGTGCTGCGTTCGAATCAATGAACAAGTCATGGAGCGTGAACTTCCAAATTATGTTTACTACATGACAGTGATAATTTTATGAAAAACGCTATTCATCCTTATTTCAGAATGTCTGAAGAATATTTACTAATTTTTCGAACTCGAAATAATAAGTAATTTAACCGTGGCAACTGTTTTCATTTTCTGATGTGCATGGCACTTCATGTGTACCATGTGAAATTTATAAGCGAGGTGTACAGTGAAGATTAACAAAGCACGTAAATGATATTTTAATTTAAATAATTCCGTGTCTGAACAGAATTCAACGAACAATTCGCAAAGCTAATTAATTTTAAAATTAAGCTAAAAATATTATCATTAAGGTTTTAAAAAATACGGAATTGAGGATGAAGACTGGCACGAGGAATATATATATGAGGATGAAACGAAAACTAAGGGTAATGAAAGTAGTTTTTTTTTAATTTTATAGTGGCTATAAGAAATCAGAAAAAAAGTTTGTCGAACAGTGTAATCGAAGCGAAATACGCGCGCAGACGGTGACAGTTGCTATTCCGATACCCAAGAGTAATCTTCCGAAGGTATGAAACGGTACCAGAGGGTCCTCCCAGATCGAATATCGCCACGGTCTGGCCGTCGACCATGAAAATGAATTTCGAGCGATAAAATTCGCGGGTAAAGAAATTCCGAGCCGCTCTATCCGGCCGATACTAAATTCGCAATGATATGGAACAGATCTGTAACAAAGAAATAATAATTCATAATAAAAAATAATAACTAATAATAATAAGAAGTTACTAAACAAAAAGTGTATGTATAGTATGTACCTCCAGATATTCATCTGTTCCGGCGAATTCCAACTCCCAGCAAAGGACCGTCGCATGACCGTCCTATCAGAAAATCTCGTGTCTGTGTACGCAGAACAGAAAGGTACCTATATAACGTACAAAAAAGTTCGGGAAAAGTATTACTGGCCTACGCTAAATGTAAATGTTACGAAGTTCGTGAACAGTTGCCTGGATTGTCAACGAAACAAACTAATACGAGTGAAGACAAAATTGCCTATGACTCGAACTGACACGCCAGGACGTGCGTTTGATACAGTTTCCCTAGACGTTGTCGACTCTCTTTCCCCCACCACCGAAAGGTTCGAATATATCCTGACTATGCAGGTTTGCTAACAAAGTGTTCAATAGCGGCACCCCTCCACACTACCGGAGCGATCGAAACGACAAACGCACTCGTAGAAAATCTCATTTCCAAATTCAGTCCAAAAGCCATACTCATCGATCAAGAAATTAATTTCACTAGTTCATTTATGAAAACCATTGTCAAACGATCCCAATTAAAATGATACCAAACACGACATGCTTTAGACAATACTTATTAGTAGGTATAGTAATAACGTTCTAAGCCATGGTGCTCGAGGGGTAAGTCGAACCGCGGGGCAAGAGGGAGGAATCCAGCCGTGGCGAGCGCTGGTGGATATGGAGGGGGAAGTGTGGCCTTGAGCGCAGGTGGGTCTGGGGGCGGAAGTGCTGCCGCGAGCGCCGGTGGATATGGAGGGGGAAGGGCCGCGGCGAGCTCCGTGATGGGGGGAGGGGAGTGTCTCGCGGTTTCGCATTTCGTACGCGTTATCGATAGTCGCTTACCTTCCGGTCTTCTCATCTTATTGAATTTAATTATGCAGCGTTTTTTATCGCGCTTGCATTTTTACATTGTAGGAGATGTTTTGGAGTGAGAGAGAGAGAGGGGTAGACGCATCGGTTTCTCTCTGTCGCTCGATCCGCTATGAACGAAGCGCAAATTTTGGAGTGAGAGAGAGAGAGGGGTAGACGCGTCGCAACGGTTTTTCTGTCTCTCTCTCTCTCTCTTCCGCAACATTTTGTAACGAGTCTGGACACGTTTTTTCTACAGCGGTCTTCTCGTCTTATTGAAATTTAATTATGCGGCGTTTTCTTATCGCGCTGAAACGCCGTCGCGAATTTTGTGGTTTACACACACACGGGGAGTCTCGCGGTTTCGCATTTCGTTTGGAGTGAGAGAGAGAGAGAGAGAGAGGGGGGTACACGCGTCGCACCGGTTTCTCTCTCTTCCACAGCATTTTTAACGAGTAGGGACACGTTTCCTAAGCGGTCTTCTCGTCTTATTGAAATTTAATTCCGAACTCGTGGACACTTCCGTGAATATCTTGATTGATTTTCGAAACGAATTTTCTAACGAGTTTGGATACGTTTTTTCTACAGGTTGAAATAATTTTTACTTTATTAACGGTCTCGGTGGCAAGCTGCTTGTATTATCAGTTCGGTTTTACGAGCAGGCAAGATTATAGCGGTTGAGCTAATTTTTCTCAATTAGGTACTCGATTAACAATGATCGGGTCGAAGAAAAGAGAGAGAAATATTTTTCTTGTCGTCGTCGTCATCGTTGACGTCTCCACCCTCGTTGTCGTCATCGTTGGCGTCTCCACCCTCGTTGCCGCCGTTGGTGGATAATACAGACGTTGCGCGCTAAACATATATTATAATCAAACGTTTTAAAATAAATTTTCAATTTCATTAATTTCAAACTCACAATTATTGCACACGCNTTAGGTACTCGATTAACAATGATCGGGTCGAAGAAAAGAGAGAGAAATATTTTTCTTGTCGTCGTCGTCATCGTTGACGTCTCCACCCTCGTTGTCGTCATCGTTGTCGTCTCCACCTTCGTTGTCGTCGTTGGTGGACAATAGAGACATTGCGCGCTAAACATAAATGAAAAATATTAAAATAAATTTTCTATTTCAAAAAAAAAAGAACAAAAAAAGTGTTACCTTCCATGGCGCACACCTCATTGAGGGCACAGTGGTCCAATCACATCGTTGGCGTTTCTTTCCTCTTTCTAAAATGAAAAATAATAGTAAAAAAAAAATATAAAAAAAAATAAAAAGAATTTTACTTTCCAGGTACCACATCCGAAAGATGCGTACCTCGCTGAAGGCACAGTGGTACTGCTGCATCCTCTGCTTCGAAGTTGAATTAGCCGTCCAACAATGAAGTCTACATGGCACGTCATATGACCCATATTTCGGGTCCGCGGTTAAAGTCTCAAATTTGGGGCAACCAAAAATTTCTACATTTATGCTTCAAACGCCAATTTCGCTTAATATGTCTTTTTCTATATGCCGCCCCTTATATGTGATTACGGGATCCTTCTAGCCGCGAATAAAAATTTTAATTATAAGACCGATGTCTTTTTGCTGATAATTTATTTTTCTCGAAAAATTTTTACAGGAGATCCCGTGTATAAAATTCGTGACATACCACGCAGACTTTTGATCTGCTTTGCACAAATCTGTGTAGCAGACGCCTAGTTCAAATTCGTAGAGACTTGCTTGGCCGGTACGCATGTTTACAATAGCTAACTCCTTACACTCAAACTTTTTTCAACGTTGAAAGCATCCATGTCAACTATAAAATCAACACGGCAGAACAACGGCAATGTACAGTAAATTCTCCCTAATTCACGCTCAAATTCTGCAGAAAAATGTACAATTTAGGAAGAGGAGATACAATTATTCGAGCTTTGTGGACCATTTTTATAGTTGTTGACAATCGGTAATTACAAAACCGGGCCGCAAGGCTCGAGTAATCATATCTCGTATTCCCAAATTGTCTATTTTTGTGCACAATCTGAGCGTCAGTTAGGGAGACATTACTGTACTTCGTAACGCCTTAATGCTGCTACATTCGGCCCCAGCGCAGGTAGTTACTTCAATAACTAAAGAACCAAGCTACATGGCGTTACAATCCGGAGAAGTGATACAAATCATAAAATGTGTACCAGTGTTATATACAATAAGGAGGGTCAATGAATATTATGATGAACTGCTAGTAACCTACAAAAATGATTCGTTTTTTTTAACACCGAGGACAAGGATTTTAACACTAAACCTACCAAGCAGTAATACTAACTGGCATGTACTGCTTCACAAAAGTGAGAATACCGATTTATTTGTAAATTTATTGTAAATTTATTTGTAAAGTTTTTATTATAAAACTTGCTCCAATAATATAACTTATTCAAATTTGTTCCGAAAGAGTCTCGGAACTTTGCAGAATTGCAAAATAAGAGAGCGGTCACTTTGACCGCGATAGGTATAGTGTTAATAAAAACAGGTACCAGAAGAGAATGCAGCGAACTAAGACCAACAGCACATACAAACTCCACGGTACATGGTACCGAATTCTGCCGAAACCTATGGAGAGCCCCTCCATAGGGGCTTCACCCCCACTTCAGACTATAACAAAGTCATCATGGAAATGCGCAAATCCAGCAAATCTCGGAGGAATATACTCCCAGGATGATATCCAAAAACTCGACGAACACATCCTCTTCCCAATCGAAAGGATCTCTATTATCAACCTATTGGCACAAGGAGTCTCGGGCCGACAATTCGCAACGAACTCGATATGTTTACTAAATCTGCTCGATGAACAATCATTAAAACAAATTGCAAAATCAACCGCTAGGTAGATTGTGGTCCGGCTTGATGACATTCGGGTCTATTAGTGCGGTTGTTATTGGTACCTACGTTTTGATAAAGATAATAAAAACTATAATAAACACAGTGGTCAACGGAATAGCTCTACACAAACTATATGACTGAAGCCTACATCTAGCCGGAGCCATATGGAGTGCACTAATTCGATTTTTCATACTTATAAAACAAAACAATCAGAACAGTGCAAGTGACAGTGAATACCCTCAAATATATTCCTCGTTCCTCGTCTTCATTCTCAGTTCTGTATTTTTTCAAAGCTCTTCTTCACTGTTTGACGAATTGCATTTTCGTAATAAAGTTTAATAAGTTCTGTAAAAAAAATAATTAAATTGACAAAATTCTGTTCTATCAGTAAATAATTTATTTACTTACTATTTCTTCGAACACTCTTTGTAAAGATCGCTGATTTTCATTGTGTTCATAGTTTATAAATATTTTCCTCCACCTTGATTTTGTTAGTAAAGGGAAAGTCTGGAAATTCTGTAAAAAGTAAAAAATAAAAAAATAAAAAATCATGCCATTTAAATTGCCTGTTTGTAAATAATATATTTTTATTTACCATCTCCTCGTGTAAATCCCTCAGAGATCGATTTATGTCGACCTCGATATACGTCCACTTGTTCAAATGTACAAGCATTTTTTTCTTTCTCGAGACTGCTCGAGTTTACGGTTTAACTCGTACAACTTTGTCGCGAACCATGCGGTACAATCATCTTCGTCGCGATAAAACTGATACTCGTACAAGGAAGTGTCGTACCGACAATTGAGGTAATAGCTTTTATGCTGAAGGCGCGGTGATGTTGATATCTGCGACAAGCTCCATGACCTTGATCATCCTGTTTTTCCAGCATGCATTCCAAATCGGAGCAGATAACGAATGGCGCTTGTTCCTCATACGCGTAATTCTTGAACCTCGGCCATTTATCGTCTTCCGTTGAAAGTATCAAAGCGCATTTGTTCATTCGGCTATGGTCAACGCTATGAACGTCCAATTTTTCCAAGGATCCGAAATATTAGAGGTACCTGAAGAAAGTTCATAACATAATTTTTTGCCTATTTCTCCTTCCAAATAAATATTCAAGGGTAGAACTTACCGATCACAAATATATTTGTGATGATTATGCTTGCTGAGTTGGGTTGACGCTCAGTACCAAGAAACCCTCCGACCTTCCCCCTTACCCTTGACTCGCAACGCAAACAGAACGATTCAATCGTACGTTGAAAAACATGTGGAAATTCTTCTCATTGATGGACTCGTGCGAGCTACCCCCTCCTCTTGCCCCGCAGGTACAACACCTCTTTGCAAATATGCTGAACATAAGATGAAAGTATGGGACATGCGCGTGCGACCCCCACCCCCATGCCCCTCATGATGCATCCCATAAGGAAGACCCGTTATCTATTTATAAGAAGGACTACTTATCCTGCATCGAAACCAAGTCCCACTCTCGATCCACCAAAACTATACTATTGGGTTGGCAACTAAGTAATTGCCGATTTCAGTTATAGATGTCTCCCACTCCCATTTTTATGATATCCGTAAATGTTATATTATAAAATTATTATTATTATTATGTTATTTTTTATTATCCGTGAATGTTAGTAACTGGACAAATTGAATGCAGCGGTCAAGGAAAAGCGACCAGAATTCGTCAATCGTAAAGGTGTCATTTGTCGCACACGTCTTTGTCCACTCGGCAAAAATTGATGGATATTGGTTGGGAATTGATGTTACACCCACCATATAGCCCTGATCTCGCGCCATCGGATTACCACTTATTTCGATCCCTGGACAACTCCCTTCGTGGTAAAACTTTTAATGATGATGACGCTGTAAAATCTCACTTAACTCAGTTTTTGGCCGAAAAGGATCAGACTTTCTACGAGCGTGGAATTTTCAAGTTGTCAGAGAGATGGCAAAAGGTCATCGAACAAAATGGAAAATACATTACAGATTAAACTTCATTCCAAGTAAAAAGAAATGTTTTATTTCATTGAACAAGTCGGCAATTACTTAGTTGCCAACCCAATATAAAAGGCCCCGAACGGCTAGAATAAAGGATCATAACTGTTCCGACTTCGATACGCGCAGTTTCTTTCTAAAATCCATCAAGGTCCAGTAATATAGTCCGCTATTTTAACTCTAAGGACGTGAATAGTCGCGACACATCTATCTCGTTGGCGGTCCCGAATAGAAGTTCCCATTATACTACACATAACATGGGCAGCTCCACGTGGAGCACAGAAGAAACAATATTATACTGTTTGTCGTAACTCCCGCTCATTGATCACGCCGCGTCACAAGCGATGGTGTCACGCGAGTGTGTGAGGGATGTGTTAACCCTTAGCACTTCGAACCATTCTAGACGTTGGCTACCAGCTAGCTACTCAGCGCCACTTTTCGACAGAAACAGGTATTTACAGACCGTCGTATTATTTAGTATGGTTTTGGAACTAACTAACATATTATAATGATATTGGACTTATATGAATTTGGCTGAAATCGAGAAATTTGCAAAAAAATCAATATTTTATTTTTTATAATTTTGTTTTGTTGTAATCGCTATCTATGCGAACTCTTTCTCTCGTCGCCTTTTTTCTTGGACGATATCACTATCACTGCTATCAAAACGATGGACTAACTGTAAAAGAAAACCTTCTACATATCTGTACTAACATTTTTGTGTAACATTTCTAACATATCTGTATAAACGTCTATCTGGAGCTCATCTTCACTACTACTTGTGTCATGAGACTCATTCGTGTTCGAACGTTTTGCCATTGTTCTAATAAAAAATATGAATAAATACATAGGTTGAAAATTTCTAATTGTTATTACTAACTCACAAGATGATATTTACCAAAAAAACTTTTACCAAACAATTTATTTACCAAGAGAAGAATCACTTTTCCGATTTTCTCACTCGTTAGATCTATCTGTACCGCTCGACGCTTCAAACCAGATTGAGTTCGGCTTTGAAAATCTTTTCCTCCAGATTTTATGATTATAAATCTCACTATATGGTGCGTGCTATGTTCGCATACTGACCTTTCTTCTACAAACTTGTCTTATCGCTCTTTTCAAGTGGCGCCTTTGAAGTGCTCGGATCGTCGTGAGCACGCTTCTCACGTTCTCGTCAAAACCCGCTGACATTTCTTGTATATATCTTAGTAATTTTACTATATTTTGATTTGATTTCTTGTGCCATTTCAAGAGAAAACTTCAGGGAAACATGCACGTCTCAAAAAGTTGCGCTGAAATAACTCAATTCCCCGTAATCACTAATAAACTTTAATGTCCCACGAGAGGGGACATCCGAGTGATATGCTAGAATTACGATGTCCCACGAGAGGGGACAGCGGAGTGCAAAGGGTTAAGCTACATAATGGAGACGATCTATGGACCATGTAAAAGAGGGAAAGAGCTACTTTTGGCTCATGAGCCACGACTCACCCGTTGTTCATTTCAAAAATCGTCGTTGACAGTTTTTCGTTCGGATCTCGCCTACTCAGTATTCTCAGTCGCACTTCTCAATCTTCATTAAACTCGTTTCTGCCGAACATATCTAACGTCTCTTTTCCTATTTCCTCAATCTTCAATTCCTCCTGTCAACTCTCAGCGCTGAGCTGACCGTTGTTTCAAGTTCGAATTCTTTTCGACCAGTGTTCTTTTCTTAATTTCGTTTTAACTCTATCTATTTACATTTGATGACTATGTATTTTCGGAGATCGAACAAGACTTATAATTTAATCTGTATTAGGATTGGTGTTTCTTTCTAACAACAGGACCAATTCGGGGGGGGGGGGGGGGTAATAAATCGAACAGAACGTAATTCAAACAACAGCACAGTCGACCAAATAGGTCCGGTCAATTTATTGAACAAAAATGAAAGATATAAAGTGTCTCCAGAGCTAGAAATTACAATTGTAGAAGGATAATTGTAGGAAACAAAAAGAGAGTCGGTTCTAGATGATCTCTGCTCTTCTCGCGTACGATAATACAATACCGAAAAAAAAACAAATTGCGACTGCCACATAGAATTTTACTTGAACTTACGAACTAGAACGCATGCGAAAACTACAGTTAACCCTTTGGAGTATGATTTATTTTTCCTTAATTTGCGTTATATCTGAAGTCAAGTTTTACGTACATGTAGATGCTAATAACAAGAAATGTTGATATTATTAGTGTAGGTTATATCCCTTTTAGACGCTAAGGGCTGGGACATATGTGTCCCATTGGTTACATGTAAACAAATATGTGCGTGGTGTGCATTCCAAGACTAGTATATTCGTGTATTGTGGAAAAACGGGATTCATTTCGCCTAATAGGCGTACGAAATACATACATAGGTGGGACACATATGTCCTGATAGACTCCAAAGGGCTAACCGTGGTGAGAAAAGAGCACAGAATGCTCGTACAGTTATAAGAAGACGGCGGGCACGAGGAACCGATACGCGGTTCGATAAGAATACGGATCCTGCTCGAAAGACAAGGATGCAGCGCTACACGACATGAAGGATCAAGCGAGACCGCGACAAGCCTAACCTCAAATAGAGACAGAAAAAGGCATGATTGTAGTCGCAACGCAGAGCGAGTACGCGGCGAATCGAGCAGCGAGAACTTTCCACGAGTCTAAGAGGGGGGAATCGTTAAAAGTTTCTCTAACGATGACGGAGTTTCAAAGCGGGAACCCGACTATCAGGGACGTTAGAACTCTATTGATCGATTTAAAAAAAAAACTCTCGCTCTTGGGACTTTGGAACACCAACGTTGACCCCATGCGCGGCCAAAGTGCCGTATGTCGAGCTCCAACGTCTTAGGAGGCAGTTACGTCGGTCTGCTTCTTATGCACTAGATCGCCTCCTACACGCTGGATCCTACTCGAAAGGGGGAATCTGCTAACCCTTGAGAATCACGAATGCGAGATAACCAAAGGCACACAGTTCCAACACTACGCGAGGCCTTGAACTACTTCGCCGAGAAGCGACTTTCACCAGGTGCTCTAGTGGAGCATAGTCAGAAGACTCTAGGAAATCGATCTATCTCTAGACTCGTGCAAATTCGACTGAGGAACCGAGCTGCTGCTGCGAGCAACTCGGCCGTTGCTACGCGGCGCTAGTACGATGCCGCTTGGAAAGGGAAACCGCTTCCCCAGCCCTTCGGGGCTTTCACGCACTCGCAACGTTCGCGAGCTTTCAGTCTCGCGTGAAGCGAGAGAGAATGCGCATCCGACTCACCCAAGCCACCGCACTAACCTTTATCACCAACTTGGCATTCCATTAGGAAGTTCCGTATTCTAACAATCTATAATTATCACGCGCTTAATCTAGCGAAATTTATAAAATAGTGTGGCGTCGCATCGCTCGCCACTGCTTACCCGCTACCCAAAACATGGTGTCATAACCGCCAAACTACTAGCCACGGCCGTTGTAACAGTTGAATAAAATTGCCTGTTTATATTTCTTGTTTTAGAACGTTGTTTAACACATTTTAGTTTTCATTCTAGTAATACTAAAAGCAGAATAAAGATCGCACATTCTCATTTACCAGAACCGCCAAAATAGCATACAATTACAGGAACTTTGGGAACTTACACTCTGTTCAAATCCGAATCGAAGTAATCTGGTCTTTCAATGCAACATGAGAAGTGCCACAAGTTGCGAAGGATAGATAAAGAGCGTAGGGAATAGGAACGTGTATTTCCTGTAAATGTAATTCACTCGTGTAACGGACAAAATACGTTTTAATAAATAATGCAAGTAATAACACCTTCCGTCCCACTTATAACGCAAGTATTGCTTTGTAATAATTAATCCTTTGCACTCGAAACTATTTCAACTCCAAAATGAAGGCATTTATTTCAACCTACATTATTTCCATTCGGTATAATCGTTTTTATTTGGTACAATATGAAATTGAACGCGTGTGATTATAGAAGATTTCTATTATTCGACGATTTATCGAACACAGACAAATTGAACAACGTGAAAATTCGTTCGAAAATAGTGTAGCAATTTAAAGCGGCGCCTCGGAGTCGCCACTCGAGTGCAAAGGGTTAAAATACAGTATTGCTGAACGAACAGTGAAGTACACTAAATTCGTGTAAAGATAGAAAACTCGATACGAGCGCAGTAAACTAATCAACTAGCAAAGAAGTAAATAACGAATATATAAGAAAAACTATAAATATATATATAAGAAATATAATATAAAAAGAAATAGAAATATAGATATAGATATAGAAATATAAATATATAAGAAAACTCGGTACAAGCGTAGTAAAACTAATCAGCTAATATAGACTGAATAAAATTCGACCGATTATCGTTGCACATCTGCATATATTAATCGTGA